CAAAGAAATTATTAAAGATTTTATGACAAAAGTTTTTTCTTTAAAGCAAAAGAGACCCTTAAAGATGTTTTGTTTTTTTGTTTTTTTCAGACAAGGCATGAGTTGAATCTGTTATGGTTATTCACTTCTAGTATCTAAGAGCTAAGAGAATTATTGCTTGGAAATGATGGGAGAAAACCCTAATTATTGGTGGAGCTTGAACGGGAGGCTGCAACCACCACCCTCACAGCAGGTTTACCCTACTTTCTTATCAACACCACCGTTGCCGGTTCCAGTACCACCGCCATCTTCCATCATGAATCCTCCGTATCTTTTTGGTTCTTCTTTACTACTTCCTGCTGCAAACTCTAATACTTTGGTCGATCATCATCACCATGATAACCAAGATTTCCCAGTCTCATGGAGCCAATTACTTCTGTAATTAACGCTTCTTTCTACTTTCCATTATTTCAATCATGCATGCTTTCCATCTTATTTTGCTTTTTCTCCATCACTCTGACGCTCTCTGCCGATATTCAACTTTATATAATATCATTCGGCTCATTGTATCGTATCTGATGAGCAAATTTATCTTCAATATCCAGGACTGGATTAGCAAACGATCAAGAACACAACTTGGGAGACGGACATGGTGGTGAAGTAAAGCACGGATTTTTGGATCAACAAAACAGACAACGTTTTTATGATAATAAACATGATCATCATGAGAACAATAACGAGGAAGATCTACAAACTTGTAGCTCTTCTTGGTCACCTCAACTAAATCCAGTTCCATCTGTTGGTTCATCTTCTACCATGAGTTTAAGCACCACCACTATGGTTGATTTCTCATGTAAAATCGATCGCCGAAATCACAATGCTAATCAATATTCATCTCAGGTACGTATACATATGTAATCCAGCCGAAAAGATTATAAACTACACGATATCCGTTCGTAGTGTGCTTTTTTTACTCTTATCGTTGCGGTTTTAATCTTTTTATTCTTGCTTGGTGTCGATGGGTTCTTGTTTCTATATCGAAGTATGACGATACATCTACCAGTGGGGCGTCTAAAAAGCCCAGGTTTCAATCGTCTTCAACCCAACCTTCTACAATGGTGAGTATACGTACAGAACATCTAATCAACGAGAAACTCTTTCCACTAATTGGTTTTTCTTTTCTTGATTTGGGGTGACTATAAATATAGCAAAGCTAGTTCTTTGATAGCTGTACTTTTGTTATGAAAGCAGTGTAACGACACATTTACAAGTGGAGCTTCTAAAAGGACTAGAGCACAACACTCGTCAACCCAAACCCCTCTAAAGGTGGAAACCTCTCTCTCTATATTTCCTAATTCCTACGCATATATTTTTGACGTTCATGCTACATATATCAACGATTCAGTATGGCACTTTTTTTTTTCACCATTAGAATGCCAAAAATCTACGCGATATGTTATGACTTTCACCTATACGATTAATTTGCAAATGGTTTTGACAATTTTTGCGTAGAAAAATAATTGGCATTCTTCAATGCTTCACCTACAACCTTAGGTGTGGTCCATTAAAGTAGGCATTTTCCAGTAAAAAAATGAGCACAATACTATGTTTATATCTAGCTTTTATCAGAAGTCTATATACCCTTACTGATTATTTATGTTTTATGTGAATAACTGAAAATTTCTACTAACTTTGACAATATGGATATATATAATAGGTGAGAAAGGAGAAATTGGGTGACAGAATATCGGCTTTGCACCAACTTGTTTCACCTTTCGGAAAGGTATGGAAACTCTTCCATGGGAATATAATTAACTACATAAATCTATCTACTTTGATATCGATACAGAAATTAAACTTCCTAGATTTTGCATCCATAAAAAACTCTAATCAAATGTTACGTATATTCTGAATCTATTTATGCAGGACGTTTCTCATTAAATTAAACTTAACACCCCAAATATATTATAAATCGACCCACTCTCAAAGTCCTAAAAACATATATACATGTGTGTGTATATCTATATACACTCAGCGTTTTGGACCTCTTATGTAGATAACATAAAATCATAAAAGTATTAAGTGGCGATTAAGCTGAGAATCGTGAGATGTAATCATATAATTTGTTTGAATAATTCGCTGGTAATTAACTATTTGAGTTTCAAATATTCAAAGGATCTGAACCTGAAAAGGATATGTATATTTGTGTGGGACTTTTTGCAGACTGACACAGCTTCTGTATTGTTTGAAGCTACAGCTCATATCAGATTCCTTGAGGGTCAAATTGAGGTGACATTTTTTCTTTATTTCTTTTCGAAGTGTTTAGAGACACCATATACTAGAGACGAGCGTGCACTTAAAAGTTAAAAGTTGTTGCTTTTTCAACATTCCTCAACAGCAAATTAACATGCAGGCACTTAGCTCCCCATACATGAACTTGGCCAATAATGTCTCAGGAGGCACGAGACACCAACATTCTGCTGTAAGTTGCCCATATATCCATTTTCGCTTTAATACCCATTTCCCAATGCAGGATCTTACTTACACCTCAACCTATACATTGATAAATCACATATTAACAAATTAAATGTTATTAAATGTGCTTATTATAAGTAGAAGAAAGTAGCCAGATCAGGTTTAATTACATTATTGGATCCATCACTTATTTGCTCTCTTAAAATATCATTTTACATAAAGTGGGAGACATGATTCTCGACTTTAGTTCCATGAAATTATTAATCAATCGAATGGTTTATTTAATGACCTCGGGATTGCATCAAAAGGGAGTTAACTAGTGATTAATTAATTTGACTTCCAACTAAGTTCTTGATTGCTGATCATTACATTAAAATTTAGTTGTGCGTTTTAATTCTCTTTTAAGGAAAAGAAACTTTAAAATACTTTTATGTAGGACGGAAAGGCGCCACTAAAGGACCTGGGGAGTAGAGGTTTATGCTTGGTCCCAACCACTTGCATAGATCATATTGACACCACAAATATGACCAGCAATGGTGCCGAATTCTGGACTCCGGCATTTGGTGGTGGACTTTAATTAATTGCTTGGTGTTTTTTGAAGTCCAGCGCTCGTCAAATTTACTGCAACTATACCATCAGTTTTCATCCGGTTGATGCATGCTCTTGTGTTGTTTCCAAAATCTGAAATGCCCGACAAGGAAAGAAAAAGAAAACAAATTTGTGTTGATAATGTTACTTGCTTAATATGTGGATGACCGCATTGGTATTTTAGTTTCTCTTTTCTTTTCTTTTCTTTTCGGGCATTTGTGGAATTAAAGGAAAGCGAAGACTATATCTAGTACATGCATGCTAGCATGATTATGAACCGTTTCTACAATGTGTAAAATACTTGATGTTTAATTAGAAGAAATGGACACATCCTTGTTGTTTATGTTGTTTTTATTTGAAAACATACGTTTTAGTGTGTTTTAGATCGGTCAAAAATTATATTCGTGATTTTAATCGTCTAAACGGGCAAGAAAATCATATGAACAGATTTTCGTCCGCGAATCGTAAATGCTGACTTCATGTATTGGATGCTATATTTACCGGGTGTATTGCTCCCTTTAGGATCAAACACCATGTTGGATATATATATATATATATATATATATATATATATATATATATATATATATATATATATATATATATATATATATATCCAATTTTAGTGTAACTAGAATTAAAATGATGCTAACCTATGATCTAATATAATTGGGGAGGTCCGAAGTGCACATTGTATAAAGTGCAAGTTTTACACTAAACACAATGAAAGGCTAACGTCAAGGGGCAACACCCCCGTGGGTTTTGTGGTAATGCCCCAAAATCCCAATAGAATTCTGGACCTGGAATATAGTGTGAAAACATGCTTAGATTCATGTTATCTTGAATAAACAAAAAAGATTTGTTCTACTCGAGACAACTCAAGTTTCCAAATAGCCAAAGTTGTTGACAACCAAGCTAATTGATAGCCTAAGATGTTTTGATTGCCTAAATTGTATAGGCAGTTTAAAGCGAAGTTGTCTTTATGGGCAACTTTAGCACATAGTTTTAGCATGAAGGAACATTTAGATTCATAATTCAAACAAAGACAAGAATCACAGGAACACACGATGTAAATAATATTTCAATTTCATTAACGAGTAAGTCAGAACAATTCGATACACCATAAAGGACTATTTTATCTGCAAAACTCTTACTTGATCTTCTATATAATATTCATATATAGGCATCACATGAATATAAGAAAGGCATCTCAAGTTAACAACTAGGCTGCAAACTTAAGATAACAAAAACTGTGAGATCGCAACTTGACTCACACAAAGTAAAGATATTACGAACACACCAATACAAGTTGACACAACAAAAACTACGAATTCTACAATCTCCCCCTTTATGTCAATTTACTTCAGTTGTCTTTACTTCCAGTTTTTTCGTAGAATCAAACAGTTTCTTAATTGTCTTCAACATAATTGGATGAACTCAGGTCCACCACTTGATCATATCTAACATGCATCTCAAATCATCAGAAGAATTTTTCTTCTATTTCTCAGCATTTGACAATATTTGATTTTAAGCCATAGAAGAATACAAGTGCTTATCAACGAAATAAAAAAATACACTTCTTTGGAACTTCATTTTCTTTCACTTTGAATACCACTCCCCTGTTTTCATTGAGAATGATACGCCTTCTATTCAAAACATATGAGATTCCAACATAAATCTTTGCGATCTCATCAATGTACGCTTTCATCAACCTCTTCATATACAAACAAATGGGTTCATACTTGACAGACTCTCTTGAAACATTGTTAAAAAATAAAATCCAATCAAAAGCATTCATCAATGGAAAAATCAGTCGGCATAACTCATCTACATCATCATTTTACCATGAATAGCTTTCAAGTGAATGTTAATAAAATCATCAACCTTTTATAACTTTCCAACATTCAAACCGACAATCTTATTTATGCTCCAAGATTTATATTGTTATTTTGAAAGCTTCACATAAAAGTTGAACAACTTTCAATTGATTGTTGTGTTTCCCATCGGTAAATACTTTCAAAGCAATGAAATTGGAAGGCTTTTGTAGTAATGGGAAAGTCTAATTCACATTCAAGATCATCTTCAACAGAGAATGAGGTTTGAAGCTCTAACCAGTAAGCTTTTGGTTTTTTAAGAGCTTCATCATTAATTCTTTCAAGTGGCAAAAAAGGACATAAAGCTATCTTGTTTGCAACAATTGATTCATCATTCTTCTTTTCAACTTCCTCAGCATTAATGTTTTCATTTAAAGCATTAAGCGCACCCAGAAATGCATCACGTTTCACTTGTTCATCTTGTTGTTCCTTAGTCAATGGTGGATTCAACTCATCTAATTTTTCAGAAACAATCTTCAAGTCTCCTTTTCCTGTACCAAAAGCTTCATTACATTTTGGTAAGTTTTCTTTTCTTTTAAATTTACCAGTTTTTCTTCCAAATACCTCTTCTCTAAATAGATTTTCTCATTGTTCTTTTCCATTGGACCATTCTGGTTAGGATTGTTATTGTTGACTTTTGGAAACACCCATTCTTCTTCCCCTTCTTGCGAAGTACCCTCGATACTCGTAACATTTGAAATATAATTCAACTTTGCGAGAATAGGCTTTAGCTTTTCATCCATGAGTTGCGAAATATAATCTACATCAATAGAATCTTTTGTTTCAACAATCTTAACTAACCATTGATTGATCTGAAATTTTTTCCCTCTCTCACCAACAGGAGCTATTTTTTCGCTTTGCCAAGATCAAAAGCATCATACTTTAGTTGTTCCCTAAGAACTTTGATCTTCGTAGTTGAGTCAACCGGAGAATCCATTTTTTTCATGAATCTGAGTTGTTTGCAAGGTAAGAATGGGGTTGGTAATAGAAGTGTGATGATCAACATAATCTTTTTGTAACCCAAATCAATGTTTAGATAAGGAGTCTTTTTCATTCTACAACTAGGTCCGAAAACTAAGAATCACCTTGTTCGTATCAGAAGCATTTTTATCTAAAGTTGCAATAGTATTGGCTTTGAGAATCGTAGAAAAATGCAAACTAGCTTCCTTGATTAATTTACAAGAATCATCAAGAAGTTTCTGGTGTTCTGAAGTATTATCAACATTAGCTTGAACCAACTTCTGAATTGTTTCTTGATGAGAAGACATCAACTCTTCATACTTTGTATTCATGAAAATAGAAGACTAAGAAATAATTTCATCTAACTTCTTGTTCATCTTGGGAAAATCACCTTTAGTCATCAGAGCATCATCATCTTTATCACATTCCTCTTGAAATGAAAAATCAGTTGTGAAAAAGTCATTACTGGACTCAGAATCATCTTTCTTGTGAAATTCTTCTTCAAAAGCATCAGTGACAGGTGGACTAAAGGTGAGTTATGGTGCTGACACATGTGATTGAGACAAATTCACACCAATATTGACATGGGGCCCCACATCAGATGTGTTACTAGGGATGTCTGCGGTTCTATTCTCCTCCTCATGGGATTCAAAAGTAGAAGCCTCTATTGGAGGTTCTGTATAAGTTGTAGTGTGAGATACAAAAGTAACAATTGCCTTAGTAAAAACAAGAATCTCAAATGGTTTTATTGAAAACTAAGAAACATGAGCAAAAAATGTACTTGTTGGAATTGGTGTGGATTGAGAAGTGGTAAAGATAATTGGTGGAGTAAGAGGTGTTTGTGAAAGATTGAGAAAAGGATCATCGACAACCTGTTTATAAATTTTTGCTTCAGATTCCATATGCGAAGAGACAAGAGAAGTTTGAATTGGCTTTGAAACAGTTGTTGGTTTCATTCCTAAATATTAGCATAATCTTCTTCATTACTGAGAACCGACTCCTTTTCTTTACGATCATCACTTTCAGTATGCTAACTTGATTCTTCTTAAAGGACAACTGAGTAAGCTTCCGCCTCTTTCGCTTTTTAGATCTTAGAAACAATCAATTTACCTATTCTTTTAGAACTTTTTGCTTTCTTCTTTGGAATTTCTGATTCATGAATTGAATTCGATCCAGCATCTCCAGTAGAAACTACGGTCTTCAAATATTCAATAATGATAGGATGATCAACAAGAACCCCAGATAACATAGCTTGAGAAATTGAACCCACGATCAAGAAATTCTTTGGATCTTAAGTGATAAATGTTGCAGTTTGCATCTTGAAAATATCAGTGATAACAACATGTTGCATCTCTGGAATATGACAATGAATCATAGCATTCCTAACCACAATAGATCAAAAACAAGCACATGAAATTTCGGTGTCCTTTGGTTTTGAAGCAAGACTTTGAACATTATCGTAAACAATGCATTCCAAATATTTTCTCAATAATAGATTCCATATAACAAATTATGAAATAATCCACTTGCATTTTCTGACCCAAATGATCTGTCAAAAAAGCATTTGAACATTATCGTAAACAATGCATTCCAAATGGGAGGAAGTGTAGACTTCTTAAACTGGGAAAGAAAAGATAATCAGAGATGTACCACTTATGTTGATAGACTTGAATAACGATCGATGCATAATTTTTTTTCTAGAGCAATCAAAATTTTGGCAGTTGCAATCCCTAACAACTTGTAGAAATTCGATTTGGAAATAGAAATCTTCACCCCTAGAACTTCAAAGTTCATAACCTACATCGGCTTATTGTAACTAGCAGTAGAATATGCCAATGATAACTGAGAAATCAAAATATCCTCAACTATAACCAGAGCTTTCTTCAGTATAGAATGATCCAAGCAAACAATCAGTGGTTGAACCATTTGAGAATACTTTGATGGATTGAGAACAACCACCATATTCTGACATAAACTGATATTCAACATTGCAAATGAAGAAGATTGGTCCATGAAAGAGATACGATCAGAAAAGCCATGTGATTTTAGCAGAAAATCTTCTACGAAAGGTTGCAGTTTAGGGTTTTTGAGCGTAGAAACGAACATGATGAACATTTAGGGTTTTTAATGGTGAGAGATATGTGGGATTTGAATTTGAATCGTTTATATATTTTGAGAGAGAAAACTCGTAACCACATATTAAATATATTACATCTCTGATGTCAGCAAATGGAATCATGCCAACCATTCACAACATATTGAAACAATAAAATATTGCCACGTCATCAAAATTTTGTAAAAAACTTCAATTTTCGTCTATTAAACATCATCATGTCGAACACTTTTAATGTACACCATGATCTGTAAGATTTAATAGTAACATGAATTATTTGGTTTCTAGTAGTTTCTCAATCATTGATCCACCATTTAATTTTCGCAAGTTAAAATATTATCCATTGGAATTACGACTAGGATTGTCTATCACAAGTGCATTGAGATTTTCACAACGAAATATAACCCAGAGTTTAGTGAAATCTGATATTTCAGTGCAAATATGTGCCAAAGGAAAATATAGAATCAAATGTTATAAAAAACATATATATAAAAAAAAAATAAAAAAAAACCGATAAGTAGTGATATCAAAGAATATTTGATATAAAATTAGTTAGATCTCGGACACATATTCTCTTCCTTCAGTAGTCAAGAGAGACTACGAAGTGCTTTTGTTGTTTCCCATTAAATTAAGATCATCAACCTGTTTAGAAGCTACAGAAGATATCTCTTCATAAGCTTTATGGGTAGTCTCATTTCCCGTCATAGAAGAAACTTAACATACATGCTAAGATATGAAAGCAAAAACTTGATTGAGAAACTTGATTGAGCAATGTAATCAGGATCATGTTTTGCAAAAATGTTATATGATTGGAATGTAACATAAAGATAAGAAAATTTTCAAAAGGAAATCTCATAATCTGAAGAAAAAAAAATAAAGTAGGATCTTATTTTGAAGAAATTAATCTGGAATCAATTAATCTCTTGAAGATCTCACAAACGAAAATTAAGATATTTTGATTATTAAAAGATTTGGCCTTGCAAAATATAAGAATTTCAATTGTCAATTCCTTTGTGACTTGATAGAAAAAAAAATGCTCACCGTCATCTCATTTTAGGAAATCTTTGTTGCGTTGGATCATGGTAATAATGACCAAGAGATCATAGCACACAAAATCTTTGCACACCTACATTCTAGTTGTTTTAGACTAGAGATGTCTCAGGATATGCGTTATAGTGTATGTTTTGTGTAAGACAAATAAGGATGGAAAAGAATGAGATTTTCACATTTCAATTAACAATGAAAATGAACATTAAAAAAGTATTGAAAAACCTAACTCCAAGTTCGTATATATCGAAAGATCAAGAATGAATCAAAATTAATTTTTGTAAGATCCGTGATTTCGTTAAGGTTGAGATAGGAGTCCTCAGTGGCGAGTTTATATGTATAGAGGATGTGTCACTTGTCCTACCTTTGATATATATATATATATATATATATATATATATATATATATATATATATATATATATATATATATATATATATATATATAACAAGTTGTATATAATTTTTTATTGTGACCCACCTCAAAAAAATGTGTGAACTATCTTAATATTTTTAACCAAACAATATATATATATATATATATATATATATATATATATATATATATATATATATATATATATATATATATATATATATATATATATATATATCAAATTTTTTGAGCTTTTGTTTTATGTTTTAATAGCCCAATATTTTTAGGGTATAATCCAATATGCATATATATAGCCCAATAGATTTTAAATTAAAACAAAAAAAAATAATGTGAATGAAGAATACTATCACAATTGCGCATGCATGCGTGTTCATTGTTCAACAACACCAATTGCCAATTGCTAACTTGCCCACTACCGGTATCTTACTTAGTAATTTTTGTTAATTTTGTTAACCTTAAGTATTTGATTGTTAATTGTTGACATATGGCAACTATTTTATTAATATCGAATCTGTTATTTTTTTTTTCTATTGTTTTGATTGTTTTATTCATGATTTTAAATAAGCTTTTTTTTTTATTATTTTTAATTTCAATGTGAATTAATTATTTGATTGTTGTTCATTTGTTTGAATACTTGATTGTTGTTTATGAATTGTTGTTTGTTTTAGAAATTAAAATCAAGAATGTGTTATTCATGTTTTTTGGAAAGAGTGATAAAAAAGCAATAAAAGAAGATAATGAGCAACATAAGCATATGAGAGTTGATTTAAGTTCACTACCCTTTGACCCGAAAGAACGTCCGACTATGGAATACTATCATGTGAATCAAATAGATTAAATTATAAGAGCATACTTGCAAAAATGACCTTTCCAACCTCAAAACTATAAGTTTCCACAACGTGCTTTTGGAGGTAAACAACAAAGATTTAATATATATATATATATATATATATATATATATATATATATATATATATATATATATATATATATATATATATATATTGGTTTGATGACAATAAATATTGGTTAGAATATAGTATAAAAAAGAATGTTGCATTTTGTTTATGTTGTTATGTATTTAAATCGAACATACCAAACCAAGGTGGATCAGATCATTTTGTGAATCTGGTTTCAAAGCTTGGAATAGGAAATCAGGATTAGATGTTAATAAAGCTGGAACTCCACACAATATTGGTGTCCAAAAGTATCAAAATTTGATGAACCAGAGGTAATCCATAACTACTGCTTTTGAGAAACAAACCACTTTGCGTGAAAAAGAATATCGTATTCGTTTGAATGCTTCAATTGATTGTGTTACATTCTTATTGCATTTATAACATTCTGTTTATTTAATAAATAAATATATGAAAATTAATGAACGAATAGTCGCACTAAATCCATATTATTTAGTGGATTTTTGGTTTTGGGGAGCCGAATGTTATAAATTGGATTATTCTGGGGTTAAAGTGTAATTTCAGGACTTGTTTCGCAAAGGATTTTAGAAGTTAGGGGGTGTTTGGTATTATTGGGACTTAATATGAAAGGATTTATGAAGGCGGGGGCTAAATAGTAAATTATGGACCTCATTTGACAATAATTGTAGAGGCAGGGTTACTTAGTAAAATATGGGACTTAATTTGTATGGGATTTTGGAAGATGGGGTTGGAATGGTAAAATAAGGACTATGTTTGAAAATGAATTCTGAAATGAGGGGCCGATAGTGTCAACATGGAATAGAGTTTGAGGAGCCGGTTATAAATTCCTTACATAGGCCTAACCCTAACACAAGGGCACAACCACTACCTTTCCTTCCACTTCAGGCGCCGCTACCACCCTTTTTCCTCCACCACCGGCGTCGTTCTGTTGCCACTGAAGACGCGAGTCACCGCCTGCCGTCTTGAGGTTGCGTTCTATGCTATCACTAATGAATGACAACATTGGTTGTGGCTCATGAGGTGGTGGATGAATCTGTCGAGTAAGAGTTATGAAGAACCACCATGACAGCTGACTATGGTGGTTGGCGTCTTCAACACCGCCGCAGACATTGTTGTTGCCGCTAGTGTTGCAGTTTCCATCGCCACCTCTCGCCTCCTCTTCAATCTGTCGTCATCCATGGCCTGCCCTCGTTCCTACCGTTGCTGATGCCGATTCAATCACTGTTGTTTCCGACTGTTGCACCACTGCCTTCACCGCCCACCATAGGTGGGTGATTTGGGTGTGTTTCTCGAGAAAAGGAGTGTATTTTAGTTAAGTGTGTGTTGTGTGTGATATGCTTGGTCGTAAAATTGAGAAAATGCCACCACCACCATTGCGAGGTGGTGGCTGCCACTAGGTGCCACCGCTAACCACCACATGGGTGGTTATGTGTGTGTGATTATTTTGAGTGTGTGTGTGTTTATTTTTGGTTATCTCATTTTACAATGTAATTAGGAATTGGAATAATGAAAAGAACCCCCAACCACCATTGTGAGGTGGTGGCTGCCCCCTCCTACCACCACCAGCTACCGTGTTGGGTGGCGATATACTTATTGTGTTTGATTCGTTGGGATGTTTGGAAAAAGGGACTAAAATCCTCATGGGCCCAATGAAGCCCTAATTAACCTAATATTCCAAACATGTGACTAATGGGCCAGATGAAACCCTCATGGGCCTAATAATCCATAATAGATCAAAGGACCTAGTTATTGGG